AAAAAGAAGAAAGTTCGAGAACAGAACACGAGCTTTTAAAGGGAGCTCCGGAGCCGATGTGGATCCCCGGTCGAGAGCGGAGCCGAGACCCACACGGGCCCAGCCCGTTACATCTGACGACTCTGCTTCGAGACGTGCTAACTCGGTAGAGACGTACTTTAAGAGGCCGACAGAGGCTGCGAGTCCCAAGAAGTCTGGTGCTGGCCTGGCGGATCGATCATTAAGGAAGGAAGAGTCCCACCTGCTCGATTCATATAAGGCTTTTGACAGCTCGAGGAACTGTGTGACCTTCTCGTCTGAAAGTCGTCTCTCTTCCACGAAAGCTTCGCGAGCATGACGGAGTACTGACCAATGCTTCTTGGGGTTAATATTGAACATGAATGTCTCCTCCGGCGCTTCCTCGGCATGGTTGGAGCTAAGACTTGCCTCAACGTCGCTGGGGATATCATGCATGTCCGTTTTTATTCGGGCAAGGGAGGCCCGAGCGAGGTTGAAAACGTGAGTTTCCTTTGGTGCGTCATCGGCTTCCAGTATTTGCTGACCCTCTGCGGTACCCAGCAGAAATTCTTCAGCGGAGCGGTGGATGAAGCAGACTTCCCCCTTGCCGGAGTATCCGGCGTGTCGGATTTCCAGGAGTCCAGCACATCGTGATCTCAGACGGCTTACGGTCCTTTCACAAGCGTGGTCCAAGTTTTCCAGTAATGCCTCGAGGTTACAGTCTTCTTGTAGAATATCTGCTGCAAGTGACGGAGAGAATGCTAGGGTCAACTGTTTTGGCGGAAGGTCCTCGCCGAAGGTCCACATGTTGAGATCCAGAGCCGCAAGCGCGATGTTGAAGAGTTGGGCAGCTTCCTTCCGGTAGATTGGTTCGCTATCGTTGAGGCGTTGCCACATATGCTGGTAAAGCTGGTGCAGTTCGTTTGGTAGCAACTCAAGGCGGCGTTGCAGTTCGACTGGGTCGTCCTCATTAAATATTCCGGTTCGTATGCTCCTCAGAGCTAAGACCACCCATAGAAAAACGCCTTCAGCCTTGCGGCAGACCTGTCCGATAAACTCAGAGAGTAGTCTTGAGTTGTTGACGAATAGATCCCCAAGGATATCCCTGATGTAGTTTTCAATGTCGAGACCCGTCAAGTCTTGCACCCGGAGACCTGGGCACGCCTCAAGATGCTTCTCCAGAAGAGCCTCTGGTCGGCTCGAAAGACACATCCGTACGTTTTTGATGGCGCACAGTCGGTGAACAAGTCCAATTAATGCTGCCCCATCCTCTCGATGATCTAGCTCGTCAAGGCCGTCGAGAAAAATGCAAACATGGCGTGGCTGTGCCGATAATGCGTAGACAAGCAAAGTCTCTAGCTCCTCGCTTGACCAGTCACTGGTGCTCCTCTTGAGCCTCGCGTAGGCAAATGTCTCCAAGACCTGATTAGGCAGCCCCTGGTCCTCAAGAAGAAGCTGATGGAGCAACGAGCAGAAAATGCCCTTGATGCTTTTCTGAAGTGCTTGTCCAAGGGCCCAGAGAAAATGGGAAACGACAACAGAACTTGGTTGCGAAGCATCTAGAGTAGCCTTCGTCTCCGGATGCGTAATGAGGAACTTCATGAGAGTGCTCTTCCCGGAGCCGGCTTTGCCACGGATCCAATATGGCTGTTCGTCTTCAGTATGAAGCCATGTTTTGAAGTCATCCCAGCGTCGAGATTCTCTCTCGAAAGTCCAGTCTTCGGTCTGTGAGGTACTCAAGTCAGCTCGGAGGGCTACCGGTAAGTGGTTTTGCGATTGGCATTCCTACCTCTCTCGCATCAAGGTATTCCGGGTGGAATATCCATTCAAAACTATCTTCATGGGGCCTTTGAATGCTGTTTTTCCGTTCGTTCATGCTCGGGTATACCAGGCTCTCAGAAAGTCTTTCTTGGTCCCTCACTGCGGCTTCCGCGCGCATCAGGTGCTCCATCTGCGAGTTGATGTGTCCTTGCATTCTCGAAGACTCAGATGCAATGTTTCTTGCGGTCGCCAGTTGCAGTTGTGCCACTTCGTTGCTAACATGTGCCGTCAGTGAAGCCGACTTCTCTAGGATGAGCTTGTCGAGGGATGTCTGATCGCGTCCGCGGGCCTGGACGAAGCCTTGCAAGATTGCATTCAGGCTGTTGAAATCATCCCGATTCTGGATGAGAATGGCATCGGTCTTGGTACTGTGTAGAAATGTGTCAGCAGCCTCTGTTCGCTTCAGTGTGGATCAGCCGTTGTCAGCTCAGGTTGTAGACTTACCAGAGTCGAATAAGGAGTCTGGTCTCGAGAACAGCTTGACGAGAGCGCATAATCTTGTCGAGTTTCTCTATCCGTCTTCTGCCTCCTGTGGCTGCCTTCAGCCATGCTCGAAACGCAGCAGCCGCCTTGCCCTTAGATAATGAGCCGGAAATCTTGTCCAGCTCTGCTCTCAGATCAGCTGCTGTACTGAGGCTCCCTTCGGCAATTTCGAGCAACTCTCGGTCGTCCTTTGTCAAAGGCACGGGGGCTTTGTCCATCGCCGTCTTCAATCCTTCTAAACTCTTGGTCAGGTCTTCGGTGGTGTCGGCCAAGCTAGGATCCAGGCTCCCTGTATCGTAAATGGTCTTTCCGACTTGAGCTGCCTCGTGCACGAAATTGATGACCTGCATGACATTGCATGCTAGTCCAAAAGCTGCGAGAGCCTCCATTCTGAACGCCAGGGCGCCAGACGGCGTTGCTCGACAGACAATCAAGATGGGACACAGTGGGATCGCATCAATCCAGTATCAGGCCTGAAGAAACCCTTGATGCCAGGCACCCGTGCGGGGTATGCCTTGCATGCCCAGCTGGCTTGATGCATGTCAGCCCTGCGTTGAAGTCTCGATACAACCATTTGGATGTGACCAGGCAAGTGGGTTGCAGAAAAAGAGGGAGTCGTAACGCTCGACCTCACTTCGTTCGCGACTCAACGCCCAAGCAAAGAAATAAAATATGCCTAGATAGCTTCAAGGCTCCATTTAATAGCCTCGAATTTTATCTTGCGAATTTTGTTTATTCAATAGTTGGGACATTCGCAAGAATTGATGAGGTTTAGGGAGCACCGGTTGGCATCTCGGCGTTGTGACTCCCTCTTTTTTTGCAACCCACTTGCCAGGGTCCAGTATCACTGCCATCGAGGCTACCGCAGGTCGCATGCATGCCGCTGTGAAAGCATATAGTTCTGTTACGTTCGGCTAATTCATACATACGACCAGAGCCACCATAAAAATCGGGATCCCGTCCGATCTCCCAGGACAAGTTGGTGAGCGCTGGATTAGTAGCCGGGACGCTGACGACCAGCGAACACCCAGTGTTGTATGTTACGTTTTTTTTTTGGATCGTTACCTTTTTCGTTTTGAGCTCATCTCTGCCGAGTAATTAAATGTATATTGTTTCTCTCACTTTGCGCCGGTAGCCGTTGCGTTCCTCTACGCATGTGTGATGCTGTTGCAGGCCGTCGACGTGCATGGGCTCGCTGTTCCAGTTGCTCCGCCACAACTAGGCAACGCTCCCATGATCCGCGAAGGGGTTACCGGCTTCCTTGATCCCATGGTCCTTGATGAGAAAATTTACGACGTACTGAGGGACACGGTGAAGAGATTACAGCCGTTATTATGACTAAGTGTGAGCGACTGCTATTCTAATACAACAGATGCTTCCCTCCTCCGCACCTCCTGTTTTGATAAGTAAATAAGAAAAGAAAAGGCTGGTTGATGATGTGACCGAAAGGCGACATGAAAGAAACTCAAGGCAAAAAAAAAAAAAAAAAAAAGAAAGGTTGGGTATCAATGCAACGATCCAAGCACGATCTATGCAGTCATCCAAAAACAAAACAGCCCCTACACAGGCTGCCAGCCACGTCCACGAGGCCAACATGTACTCTGTCGTGTCTCGACGACAACGGCTACAACCACAATAGCCACCTGACTCCCCTCCATACTCCCTTGCCCACGCCGAGGAAGATGCGCAGGATCATGACGACGAACCACACGTACCACATGAACCCGACGAGCAGCCACTCGACCGTGAGCCACAAGGCGCGGCGCAGCCAGCGTAATCGGCGACGCCTCCTGCGCATCATCTTCTCGATGACGTCGACCACGTGCTTCACCTTGAGTGGCTGCCCGAGCGCGAGGTCTCTGCCCGTTTCATCAGCCTGGTCGGCTGCCGCGCGCGCCATCTCGGATAGGTCGTCGACCAAGCGGGAGCGCATCTCGCCGATGCGCTGCTGCAGATCGGGACTCGTCCTGTGCGCGAAGCGGTCGGCAGACACTTGCCACCGCTGGCCCGACGCCTGGATGGCGCCTCCGAGGCATTGCGCTGCCAGTGGGTATAACTCGCAGAACGTGACCTTCCGTGTCGAGAGCTGCTTGTCGTCGCTGAGTTGGGCAATGTCAGACCAGCCAAATCCAGCGCAGGTCGTTCCCACAGGCGCCCCCTTGGCGGCCAGACTCTGATGGCCGAACGGTTTGTGAAACTCATTCGCCCGCCTGCTGATCTCCAAGGCCTTGATACCAGAGCTCAAAATGAGCGCTTTCATGCGTGCAATCTCACGCCTCGACAACTGGGCCTGCTCGGTAGAGCACTCTTTGTCCGCGATTGACCAGTGTCGACTCTGCCGCCGGCCGTCCTCATCGTATGTTGGCGGTGCAAGGGCATCATTCAGTCTCTTATCCGCATCGCGGACTTGATCTGAAACGCTCCCGTGCCTTGACTCTGACTCAGACACGTCCGAGTCTCCGAGGCGCCCTCTCCTGATGCTGGGCGGCGAGATTGACGATGACGCGCTTCGAGGGTCGATCCGCGGAGGTTTGAGAAGGTCGAAACGCGATGATTTGCGGCTGTGGTTCGCGGATCCCGATGGCGTCACATCTCCTGTGCTGCGCGAGTGTCCGGGGGCGTGATTGAACTCAGGCATTGCGTCCAAGAAATGCTTCGGCAACTGGCGGTTCTCATCAGGTGTCGCACTGTTTTCCTTTCCAGACAACGACAGGGAACTCCTCTGGCGCCCCCTCGCACGCTCACTTTCCGATTCGTCAGTCGATTCCATTTCCGGTTGAGACTCGCCCGATCCCTCCTTCTTCCAGAGCATATCCCCCAGCTTTGAGACGCCTCCTCGAATGACAGTATCGATCCGAGGACCTTTGAACATCCCGCGGCGGCTTTGATCCTCCGGACGCAGACGTAGACTTCCCGAGCTTCGATGCGTTCGCCACGGTTCCGACGTTCGCTCGGATGTTGACTTTTTGGTTGGGCTGGACCGACGTCTATCCGGCACGGCAGCCTTGTCCGGCGTCACAGCGAGCTCTGTGGTCGATATGCGATAATCTCCATCCTGACCCAGCTCGGATACCAAGGGTGAGTTTGCGAGATCTCCATTCTTGTCTCGCATGATATGCCTGATCTTGCTGAGCGGATTCCTAGGCGGTGACCCAGCACGACTCCACGAAGGCGAAAGCTGCGTGCTGACGAGGCCAGGCTCCCCTCCATCTTTGGACGGGCGGAGCTCTGGAGACGTAGGCATCGAAGAGACTTTCTGAAGCGCCTTCCTCGACGTGGCATCATCGTGACGAGCCTGCTGATGCTGGGGTGCCGAAGGCAGCCGTGATATGTTCAGGGCGCCTCTGCCATCCGAATCGCTGGCATCCGCCAAAGAGCCCTGTCTACTATGAAAGCGACTAGGTGGCGGTGATAAGGCAGACTTTTCGGGTATCGTGGCCATCGGTGAGATGGCATTATCTGGCTCGATGGCAGATTCGGCCAGGTCACGTTCGCGAGCCTCCTTTGCGACCATTTCCAGCATCTGTTTCTCCAGCAGGTCGTTGGCGTCGCTCGAGATAGTCCCACGCCTGCCAACCTTGCCTTTTCGCCGAATATCATCGTGACCTTCATTCTCACTTTCTGACAGGTCCGACGCAGAATCCTTCGTGAGCCGCAAGAAGTCGTGATGATGAACTGGAATGGAACCAGTGTGCCGGTGCGGGAATGCCCGCATGTTCTGAAACTTTTGTTTGGCCCGGTCTTTGGTGCTGCCTTGAGACATGCCCGTGTCTACCTTTGTGATTTTCGCGCCTCGCGGATCTTGAGCGGTGTCTGCGTCTAGGGCAGCAAGGAAGGACTTGTCCTCGGCTTCCCGGGTCGCCGGCCGGGACAGCTCAGCTGGCGGAGGGAAGATCTTGCGCCACTGGCGGTCCTCGATAAGGTGCTTATGGTCGTTTCGTTCCAGCCAGTACGCGTCAGCAATCATGTCGCATGGCTCGATGAACCAGTCAACGCGTGGGCGGCGGACACGGGTCACCGCCTTTGAGTTGGCATCTGGCGACGCTTGAGTCTCTGCGTCGTCGGCACCAGGGTACAGGGGCATCGAGAATACATCTCCCTCTGCGGTTGAGTCGACGGATGACGATCGTGAATAGACCTTGTCCACCCACAACCGGACGCCCTCGACATCTCCGAATCCTTGCCGCTCTCCATCGATAACCTTGCGCTCCCGCGCTCGTATCTTGCGATTGCGGATGTATTGCAAGGGGTTGTACTGGCGGCCGAGAGCCGGCGGTGGCGGATCGCGTGATCCAAACTTGATGCCTCGGCTGGCGACTGCCGTAGCTGGTGGGCTGATGGCCGTCATTTGCCGTTCGAAGCCAGGTTTCAGGGGCGGTAGCGTTTCCAAGAGCCGCCTGTATTGCGCCATGAGCTCCAGGTGCTCCTTTGCCTTTTGCGCTCGTGCCAAAGTCGATGGGGAGAAATGGTATCGGTACTGGGCGTCGTGGCCTGCATCAAACGATGCCTGCAAAGGTGTTCCCAATGCCGCGCCGGACGATACCCTAGGCGAAAGGGCTTGACCGGGCCTCGGGCTTAGGTTTCTTGATGTTCGGCGTTGCTGCTGCAAGTGCTGCCGCAAGGCACTGCCAGAGCTGCCGTCCGGTACGGGTGCGAGTCTCGGTGGCGTCCCGCGCGAGACGTTGCGGCGCGCCGCGAGTCTGCGAGATTCGGAAAGGTTGAGAGCCATGTGCACAATCTGTGCGGAATCGACATCGAGCCCGGCTGCGTTTTGCTTCGGCAGCGGCGATTGCGAGTAGGGATCGTCGAGTTCCTCTCCCGGCGAGGCTGCGGGCGATTTACCCCGCGAGCCGTTGGGCGATCTCGCGCTGCGCCCAGACCCAGCATCGGAGGATTCTCTGGGTTTGTTTCCTCGGTCGGCTCTGGCTCGTGAGGACTCGGGAGTGCGCGGCGCGGGCGACGCTCTCGCCTTGTGATGGTTCGATTCGCGGACAGAGTGTCGATGACTTAGGTCTCGGTGCGCGGCGACCTTGTCCTGCAGCAGAAACCCGCCGCCGGAACGAGGTCGAATCTTCCTTCGGAGGCTCGCCCCTCGTGGTATCGGCGCGGTGCTGGCGAGACGATCGTAGTCGGGGCTCAAGCTCCGGGGCAGGTCGTCGGTGCGAGGCACCTCGAGCAGACGGCGGTCCGACGACGAAGGTGTCGCATCGCGCAGACTGCCCGTGGCGCTCGACTCGCCCGTCTCGTAGCTGGCTCTTGAGCGACTCTCAGGCGTCAACAGCCTGTGGCCATTGGTCGGGGCCTGCGCGGCATCGTGGTCTGCCATGACGGCAAGGCGGACGCATGCTGCAGCGGCGAGAGTCGTCTGTAGCTCGGCAAGCGTCTTCAGTGGCAGTGCGACATGGCTGCGTCGTGCCCTGGGCGGTGGGTGGTGGTAGGTTGCGGTGAGGTGATGTTGAGCCGGAGCTCCCCACTGTGAACTGGGGTGCGACGGAGTCGCGCGGTTGGACCTCTCCCGTCGAGCTTGCCGGTAGAGGGGCTCGATGCTGCAGGTGCGCTGCGCGATGCGATGCGATGCGCGGTGTCGAGCGTCAGAGGTGTGGTGGTATGGGACTTCGGAGGAGGAAAGAGTTCAAGCTGGCATGTGCCGACGATGCTGGCAAGTGGGCGAGCGAACGGTCAGGCAGACGTAACGTAGGGGGGCGTCACGTCACTGGCCCGAGGACGCACCGGGCTCTTTCACAAGTGACGCCGCCCCGGTCCGCTGAAAGACTGGGACGGGAACGGCACTGCAGGCGTTCGGCTCCTCAAATCGGGGGCGCTGGTGGCCCCACTTTGGGGGGGCAGCGCCACAGCGGGCGGATTGAATTTCGGGGCCTTCCAACTCGCTCTCTCCCCCTCTCTCTCAGCGCGTCCAGCACTGCAGCACGGAAAGGTAGCCGGATGACAAACGCCTTTCACGGGTTTGGATGCGCGTCCCGTCGTCATCTGCCTCTCCCGCACTCTCGTCCAGGTAGGCGCTCTCCAATCATTTTCACATGCCCGCACGAAGGTGGCATCACAGTCGGACAGCCACGCCCGCGTCCGCTCCTGTATCCCGTGTCCACCACACACTTTTCTCTCGTGTACAAAGTGAAAGATATGATTGTGCTTGTACAATGTATAATAGTGCAGAGCTGTCTCTAGTTGCCGGCCATGACCCATATATCCCGCTATTGTACATCTATCGTCTTACAACTCTCCGTATAATACAGGCTTTGGGTATATCGGGAATTTCAGTTCGTAGCAGCGACGACCTCTTCACATCTGCCGCAGATACCATCATCCTCCTCTGCAACGTACCTCCAGCATCGCGAGCATTTTGCTTGCTTCGGTGGGAGCACATGCACCGTGCCCTTCTGGTCGCCGTGGAGCTCGATCGGCTTGCTGTAGCACCAGGGCCTTTCCTCGGGAAGCGGCGTGTTGAGATCCACGTGCGACACCACGTACATGGCGTCCAACTCATCCATGTAGTCCTGCAACGTGGCCGTGAGCCCAGCGTCTTCGGTTGCTATGACGACCGAGCATTGCAGAGAGCTTCCGAGTGCCTTTGCCTCTCGTGCCTGCTCCAGGCCAGCTTTGACAGCGTCGTGGACCGCAGCCAAGGCCGGCATGTCTGCACGGAGCTTGTCTGGCTGAACGGTCAACCGGCTCGGATCTACCAAGGGTTCATGGTACAGTTGCCGTGCTGGATTCTGGAGAGAGCTACCAACTTGTCAGCGGATCATCTGCCTGCTTGTAGGGTTGACCATACCTGTCCTCAACCATCCACGATGGTCGATGAGCCCAAGCTTCCTCGACCAGAATCGGCGTGATGGGCGCCAGCATCCGCAAGAACCCAATAAAGATTGGTTCCAACGCACCGCCGCCATCGCCGCAGTAGAGCCTGTCCTTCAAGGCCTCGAGGTAAAACGCCGACAAGTCAGTCGCAACCCATCGGTTGATCAGACCAGTGGCGCGATGGAATTCGTAGTTGTTGACCGCCTCCCAGCTTTGCTTGGAAACATCAGACAGCTGTAACAGGGCAATCTGGTCCAGCTTTGTGAGCGGCACCTGGCGGGCCGATTGATGCAGCGACCCCAGAATCATCTTCAGGATCGTGCGATATTTGATGAGAGCATTGTGAACGGGCTGCAGGATGGACGGTCCAATGAGAATGTCCGTCGTAAAGTCGCTGCTCGCCGCCCACAGCCGCAGAGCATCTGGTCCAAGGGCATCGAACTTGGGGCCGTCATTTCCCTTGCCCTTTCCCTTGACGGGCGGCAGCAAGCGGCCGTCAATGACTTCCTCCGGCAGAATAGTGTTGCCCAAGGACTTGGACATCTTCTTTCCCTGTGAGTCGAGAGTGAAGCCATGAGTGATGAGCGTCTTGAATGGCGAGACGACCTGGTCGTCCGTCTTGCCGTCTGATTTTTGAGCCGCAATGTACGTCAATAGACTTGACTGAAACCAGCCCCGGTGCTGGTCTGAGCCTTCGAGATAGACATCAACCGGGCGGTTGATCTCCGTCCAGCTGCTGCCACTGTCGAACCAGACGTCCATGGTGTCTGTGCCCCGACGATGCGGCCCTTGCAGAGATGGTGCCACCCAGGCCGGGTCGTCTGGGCTGTCAGAGAACCAGGCATCTGACGACCGCTGCGTCATGACGGATATGATGTGCTCGATAGACTCCTCGGTCATGACAGCCTCCCCGTTCGCATTGTACAAAGCTGGGATCGGAACGCCCCAGAAGCGTTGTCGAGAGATGCACCATTCACTGCGCCCCTTGACGAAGCTTTCCAGACGGACCCTGCCCGACTCCGGCACAAAACGCACATCCTTCAACGCCTTGAGTGAGCCATCCTTGATGCTCCCGACATCTGCGAACCACTGTGCAGTCGCCCTGACGACCACCGGCTTCTTTGTTCGCCAGTCATAAGGGTATTTGTGGACCAGGTCGTGTGTGCCCAAGACATCCTCTGCCATGAGATCCAGAACCGCTCGACCACCTCCATCCAGGATTGACGGGGCCGATGTCAGCAGCTCAGGCTGGTCAGGGAACGCGTCTTCCGTGAAGAATCCCTCGTCATTGATTGGGGCGAAGGCTTCGATGCCAATCTTCGAGCAAACCTCATAGTCGTCTTGACCGTGTCCCGGAGCCATGTGGACGAGGCCAGTTCCAGAGTCTTCGGATACAAAGTCTGCATGGACGATGGGCTGATCTTGGGCATTCTTTCCGCGAAGCTTGTTCCGATAATGAAGGCCCGCCAGTCGAGAACCAGGGATGGAATCGGCCACGACTTTAAACTCAGGTAGATATTCCCTCACTGCCTCGACGCGAGACGACGCAACGAGTAAGGCGTAGTCTCCAGCTTGCAGCACAGAGTACGGGAGGGCCCCATGCACCGCGATGGCCCTATTCGCGGGTAGCGTCCAGGGCGTCGTCGTCCAAACGACAGCGTAGAGGCGTCCTTGGAAGTCGGCCAGCTCCGGTATGGCGCTGCAGTCGGCAGTAATGGGAAATCTGACGTATGCAGCGTGCGATACATGGTCGTCTCTGTACTCGAGCTCGGCTTCAGCCAAAGCAGTTCGTGACGAGATGGACCAGTACACGGGCTTGTGCTTGCGGTAGATGAGCCCGTGGTGAACCATCTTTTGAAACACCCGCAATTGCCTGATCTCAAACTCGCGATCCATGGTGGTCCACTTGTTGTCCCACTCCGCCATGACTCCAAAGGACTGGAAGCCCTTCATCTGTTCCGTTACCGTCTTGGTGGCCAGACGCCTCGCGGATTCGCGGACTTTGACGGGGTTCATGCCCTTGCCAGAGCTGGTGCCGAGAGCCTTCATCTCTATGGGAAGACCGTGGCAGTCCCAGCTCGGTCTATACACGACTCGCCTTCCATTCTGGACCTGCACCCGGAGGATCATGTCCTTGAGGATCTTGTTGATGGAGTGCCCAATATGTAGCGGGCCATTTGCGTATGGCGGCCCATCGTGGAGTATGAAAGGATCGTCCTGGGGTCGGCTCTCCGTCTGCCACCGATATAGGTCATCCGTGCACTCGCGCAGGTACTGTCGTTGAAGCTTCGGGTTCGGCCGGGCGCTGGAGCAGGTTAGCGACAGGTTACGTCCTCGAGGCATTGGCACTCACGGAAAGCTCGAACGCGGGAGCTTCAGCGTTGCCTTCCATGATTTTGACATGATGGATGCCGAATCATGCCGAGAAGCGGCTCTGGAGTCCGACCTCGGGAGACAGCGCGCGCAGTCGCGATCGCGATGACCGGAGCGGTGGGATGTCGAGATTTTTGGTTGGTGTTGCGCCTGGCACTGGAGCTTGCCGCGTTCACCTGCAAGGGTCCCGTCCTCACTCTAGCGCTAGCGCGGCTACCCGCGCACGCTGGAACGTGGGGCAAATGGCAGACGGGTGCTTTACATCATCGGACAGCGTGAATCGCCTCGTAACTCACGACCGGAATCTACGCCAACACTCACGGCATTTGATGCGCTCGTCGCGCAGCCCGAAACAATGGCGCCTGTACGTCGATACCTGAGGATCACAAAGTACTCTGTACTTGAGTGCCGCATCTACCTCGACAACCCAGCCTTGGCGCAGTCATGGCTGCTGAACCCGCGCGACCCGGTCCTGCCACGGGTCATTGAGAGCATCCGTCCACTGGTGCTGCCGAAGCTGCGCGAGGAGAAGGAGCGGGAGCGGGCCAAGAAGAAGAGCTCGAAGAAGAAGAACGTCAAAGATGTCATTGTGCAGGGTGAGCGCCGTTCGGAACAGAGGGTCGAGCAGCTACTGACGACGCCGCGCAGATGACTTTGAGGTGTCCATGTTCCTCACAGAGACGAGCACGCGGCACTCACTTCTCACGAAGCAAAAGCACTTTCGCGAAACGGCGCCGCTAATGATGCAGTCCAACTCGACGCGCCTTATGGGGGAGACCAACGACATGCCCGTCGACGTCGACGCGGAGAGCACGCCTCCGCCTGTCGTGCTCCGCGAGGAGAGCGACGACGACGACGGCTTGCGGCTTGCCAAGATACCTCTCGCGGGTCCGAGACAGAAGAGGCGACGAAGGAGAGCGGATACGGGTGGACAGCATGGCGAGGATACGTCGGACGCGGACCCGTCAGATGACGACGGCCCAGAATCGGCAATTGAGATTGACTCTGACGCCGAGGAGCCCGCAGCAAAGCGGCCCCGAGGTGCGGCCGAGTCTGATGCGGGCGAGGAGGATGACAAGAAGAAGCTGGCAATGGACGTATCGTACGAAGGTTTCGCCATCTACGGGCGGGTGCTGTGCCTGGTCGTCAAGCGGCGAGACACCAGGGCGCAGCTGTCGCATGCAATAGCCGACGGGCGCGGGGCGGCCAAGGCCACGGCCACGGCGGGGCAAGGACAGGCCAAGATGGAGAATTGGATCACGTCGACGCAGATCCCGTTGGGCGAGGAGGAGATGCCGTGAGGCGGGCCGTGAGACGGCCCGCGAAGCAACGACAGCGGCACAACGACGACGACGAGAATAACAACACCATGGACCACCACCACCACAGAAACGTCAGCGGCGTCAGCGGCGGAGTTCGCAACAGCAGAAACAACAGTCAGGTCAGGCCTGCTTCCAAATCGTTGTCAATTGTCTCGGCCGCCGGGCGGGGAAGCAGTTGACAGGTCTCTTGGTGTAACCTCGAACCGGGTTCGCAGCGTCCCGTGATGACTGGCATCGCAGGCCACCCCCAGCCCAGGTCTGTGAGCTGTTGGAACCTCCCGGGAAATGAGAAGAGCGCCCCCTCAAGGGCCACCCAGACAGCGCAGCGCTCCCTGCGCATCCGCATCGCGTGATGTGTGACGGGCCGCGGACGGCGAGCTGCGGGAAGAAGATGGAGCCCGACGCCTCGAGGCCATTGCATGCCCCGCTGGCATGACGTCTCGCATGTCGGCACTGGGGGCGGGAAGGCGACGGCCCCAGTGCGGCCTGGCCCGCGGAGAAGAGGTGCCTATAATCGACTGCTCGGCGCGTCTAGGGAGGTCTAAGGAGGAACTCTGCTCGCTTGGCGGAGTTTGCAGGCACAGCGAAAGACGCAGTCAAGCACAGCACATGGCATGGATAATTTCAACGAGAGCAGGTACAAGAGTATACTTGTAAGGCATGTGTAAATGTACGAAGTGCTCGTATGTGAGTGCGGAGATGTACAAAGTGTACTTGGAGTATTGCCATGGGTTCTCTGAGCACACACAACAGACACATAACGCATGTCTATGCATGGGCATGACGAGTTTCGGAGAAGACGCCCGCGCCAAGAGCCGACAGTCGTTCGACAGAGCCACCAACGGATGCAACGGCGCGTTGGCGGAGCGAACCTAGTGCACAAGTTCCCTTGCCTGCATCAGCGACCAGGTTTATCATTCCCGTGCTCCGTACGTATGTACGTATGTACTCGTTGTCCTCCGGCGCCAAGCAGGATCATGTCCATCGGTCTCAAAGCAAACGCGCGACCAACCCATGACGAGCGCGACGGGGTGCGGAGACTCATCATCTCCCATCGACACACGTGATGGGGCCATTGCCCGTGCGACGGCGATGCCATTGGTGCGACAGATGCTCCGGCGGGCGGGCGGGCGGCATGGGGGGGTGGTCAACTCAAGGGATGGATGGATTCTGGAGATAATGGCCATGTTCGACACCCTCAGCTTGACAGGGGCCGTTCGCATCCGAATCATGTGGGCTGGTAGGCCTGCCTACCTGGCCCGATCATCACTGATGGCGTTTGGGTGCACTTTCATTGTGAAAGGCAGAAAAGGCGGTGGTGGTGGAAACAGAATGTGCATCGCCGTGTCCGCCCAGAGGTCGGTCTCTGGCCGCCCTGGAGCGTACTCACTGCTCAGTCGAGGTCGGTGAACGGTTGGAACCTTACTTGGTAGAACTACCCTGTCTCGCTCGCCCGAAGACAGGGCAATTTGCGGGGTGTGAGAGCCTGTCTCGTTCGTCATCCATCATATCCATCATCACTCACTCAGCACCACCACCACCACCACCACCACCACCACCACCTCAAGCAGGCAAGCGGCGACCAACGCTGGTACGTGTTGCCCGCCGTACGATTTGACTTCCGGCCGAAACAGTGGCACCTGTGCCCCAGACGGGCCCGCCCGCAGCAGGCTGATCACGATGTCGAGGATGTGAGAAATAACAAGCGCCGCCCACCGGGCCAAGCGCTGCAGCTCCACCGCCCAGCAGGTTGCAGTCGGCGGGGCCTGCCTAAGGTATGATTTGCCTTGCCCTGGCCCCGTCGAAGAAACGTCTCTGCTGCGTGCTCGTCGTCGCCTACCTGCATCTTCTGAAACAGCATCCCTCCGGTATACCGCACTTGCCGGCATACGGGCAGGCAGGCGAGCGGGCGGGCAGGCGCAAGGCTGGTCGTGGAGCGGCGAGGCTTGGATGATACGATAAGCCGCCTCTGCCGGACGGGCGTGTAGATATTACTGCGATGGGCATGGAAGGCATGGGGCATCCACCGCCGCAACCGTCGACGAGGTTGGCAAAACCCATGGTACATGGCGGCCAAGTACAGCCTGTACATTGTCCGAGTCGTCGACACACCGGACGCCCTCCACGCCGTCACATCCACACCCTCTCTCGCTTGAATTGCCAGTGGCCCTGCATTGGATGTCGACACGGAGCACGTTGGACGCACCGCGCCGTCCCAATGGGCGGTGCGTACGCACTCGTACGTAGCAGCAAGAAACAAGAAAGGAAAAGGTGGTGTCATGGTGCCGCCTCCGCTTTCCGACGATGCCGACAAGCAGGGACGCGGCGCGGGCGGACAGTCTAGACAAGACACGCCGATGAGGCTGCGCCGACTGCGTGCGTAGTTACCAGTCCACCACCCACCACCCACGGTCAATACCCGCTGCGGCGCCATTGCGGAATCCCCCGTAGTGCGGCATGCGCCATGTGTGTAATCAATCGCGAGCCGACGAACGCCTCGTGGGCGCCACGACAGCGTGTGGTTGACTACCGCGGCCCGGCCTCGAACACTCTCACCCACCCAACCACAGGGCGTATGCATCGTGCCCAGAGACATGGGCGAAGCTGACGGCGCAAAAAGCAAGAGCACGACGCATATTGCGCAGCTTCACGTCGTTCGACGAGACTCTTGACGGACGCTATGCCACGCCACGCCATGCCATGGATGCCATGGCATGTCGCGCAGCCATGGGCTGACGTGTATTGGGCCGAGCCACCGCCCACAAGCACTGCGACGGTGATGGTGATTGCTGGATGTCGTGGCTCATACCTGCGACGGCTGGGCCGGATAAGCTTTGGACGGGCCGTCGTGTGAAGCAGACGGACGATTCATGCGGCCGACGCAAACGCACCCCGGCGGACGGGACGCGTGCGTGATCGAGCTGGGCGGAGAGGCTGCAGACGCCGAAGTGCCGAGGCAGTTGTTTAACGTACTTGGGTAATCTAGGGTAATGTGCCGACGGCGAGGCAACGTGGTGATGGGCTCACTTGGGCGCCGAATGGGTACGGGTTTGCCATGGCGTCTCGTGGCTACCCGGGATGCACGGGCGCCGTGCTTCGTACATCCATTTGCGGCTGTCGCCGATTCGAGTTGTCGTCGTCGATGGCCGAATCCAGATGCGCTTCCTTTCAAGACTGGATAAACGGGAGAATGCCATGGCAGACCGAGTCAATACCCAATAGTCCGGCTCCTTCGTGGTCGCCGCCGCTAGTTGGCAGTGCTAGCCGTCTCACCAAGCTTGGTTTCCTGCGTGCTCCTGGCGCATCCCGGTCTGTGCGGGCGCGCCTCGGCGCTGTCGTCGACGTCAGCCCAGGCCCGGGAAGCGCCATGCGAGTCTGTTGCGCGCAAGATTGCGTCCCCTGCGACCTGCGCGGCCGGCAACAAAGGCGCATGGAGGGTTTGCTGCTGCTGCTGCTGCTGCTGCTGCTGCTGTCACGAGTGAGTGAGAGAGGGCGGCGACACTGACGAGAGGCGCCAGTGGATCGCCAGGGGTGTTTCGTCGCCGCTGCCCCGATGCCCCTGGCCTCCCACGTGGCATCCAACTCAACGTGGCTTGACCACTCAGCCACCGGCCGCTGTGAGTGGCCTGTTGACGAGCGCCCGAGGCACCAGCAACCACCGACTGAGCCCTACGAGGTTGCATCTCGTCCCGCCGCTCCCGCACAATGCGACGCCGCCAGCGCCCGCCGCTCCCTTGCCTGGCTGGTCGCCTGGCTGGCCGCCTGGCTGCCCTCGAGACGCCTTGCAGCCCGCACGAACAAGCAAGGCCAAGGCATTTTTCGCCGGCATGGGCCGCCGCCGTCTCAGGCCATTCGCGCTGGTGGCGTGGCGTCTCGGGACGTCGTGTCATTGACCGGCGCCCGACACTACGAAAAGACATTGGCAATGGAATGTGAAGCTGACGATGGCGCCTGCATGAAGCGGCCTCTCTGCACGACAATGCCACCCCTCCCCCCAACCAAAACGGAGACCAGAGAGGAGACCAGACTCTGCTATGTCGGCGGCTTGGCGTTGAGACACTGGGCGCTATCGACGAGCTACACATGCCGTCTCGCGAGAAGGCGTCTATTTTCAGCCTGGCCAGTCGTGCATTCTGGCACCACTTGGACGGTTGAGGCTTGCCAGGAACCACCCGTCGCACCAGAGCCTGGCGCCACGGCCACTGACGAGGCGCCCCAAAACACGGCTGAGACGACGCTTTTGGTTCGGACGCCATCCCCCAAAGGCGACGACGTCTGCTGTTAGCTTAGCTAGCGCCAGGGGCAGTACCGGCACGGCGGGTCAGCGTGGCCAATTTTTCCCGTCGCAGGCGCACGCACACACTCATCGGAGGAAATTTGCCGATGCGCATCTGACAGGCGACGTCCCAAGGAGACGACGGCCACGCCTCGTCGCCGCCAACGACGACTTCCACGGGGTCGCCGGCCGAGACCGAGGGACCAGCAACCCAGTGGGCCGGCCAGGTCAAGGGCCCGGGGGGATGGAGTCGATGGACGCCGCTTGATTCAGCTTGACAGCCGGCAAATTGGCCCTGATGCTAAATGCGGACCCAGCCTGTGACACAGGCCGGGACACAGATTCGCGAAAGGAGCACATAGCCCTGTTGCACGGCAGCCGGGCGTCGGCAGCCTTGACTGGCTTCGGCTGTGGCATTCGGGGGTGTCAGTCGACGTCGGGGCTGGCCCTGTCCAGAAACACTTGACAGGCGGATCCGAGGTGAGGCTGGCCATCGTCGTCCCAGCGGGGTGGTAACTGGAGGGTTGGGGCGATGCTGCCATCTGGCTTGGGGGCCGAATCTCGGGCGGCTCGATTCGTCGATGGCCACGCAGCGTCGCCTTCAGCCCCCAAGCAACCGCGACACCATTGATTGTGGTCTGAGGCATCGGGAGATGGATGCATTTCGGGCATGCAAAGCCCGTCATCGAAGAGAGTCTCGGCT